TGGCGAGCGCGCCAACGAATTCTTCGTTGTGGGATATCATGACGACACCACCTTTGAAATCTCGGATGGCCACAGCAAGACCGCCTAGAGAATCACGGTCCAAAAAGTTGGTGGGCTCATCGAGAACAAGCAAATGTGGGTTGTTCCACATGGCGCCGGCAATGACGACCTTGACCTTCTGGCCACCCGAGAGACTACCGATCTCGTTGTGGTTCGCAATTTCAGGATCAAGGCCGAGATCCTCGAAATGCTTTGAAATCACCGCGGGCTGAAGCTCACGGTATCCCAAGCCCTCTCGCGATGCCTCGTGGTCATCGAATTCCTGTATGAGTTTGTCGAAACCCCATTCTATCATGGTCTCTCGAGAAACTTGCGAGTTGAATTTGGGGAGCCAGCCCCGCCACTTTCTGTTGACACTATTAGTGATAAATTATAGGGGTGAACCGAGGAGGCACTCACACTTCATATTGGAAAGTTTTCTTCCATTTTTGTCGACCCACGAGAACCTCAATTTGTCTGTCTCCCTTTCCGTCGCCCAGGTCGATCTTCTTTTCCATCTGCTCTCGATCCTTGTCTGACAGGATTCGGGTTTGTTTCATGAACACCTCCCGGTCGTCACCATTGGCATATCGCCATTGTAGGTACTGGTTAGGCGTCTTCTCGAGATGCATTTCCACATGTTCCAGAGCATGCTGTTTAATGTATCCAATACGCAAATTAGGGTGCTTTTCAACCCTGCCAGTTGTAGGAACAACTTCTCCAGTCAAGATTTTGATCAGGGTTGATTTGCCCGCACCGTTGGGACCAATGACAGCAACTCTGGAAGAAAGAGTCAGTTGGCAGCTGACCTCACTAAGGGAAACTTTGGCCGCTCCAGGATATTGGTAGGAGGCACCGGTCATGCGGATGATAGCTCGGGTCTGGGACTTGACACCTGACAGGATACCGGGAGGTGGAAATTTGAATTGAACATTAGAAGCTGAGAGAGTGTAATAAGCCTTGGCCTCCGGGCGAGCCTTCACGAACGTAGCAAGGTTGCCTTTGAAGTGACCGAGCTTCTTGCCCGGTTCGTAATGATAGATATCGGTTGTAACGTTGTCTAGAAAGCCCGAGTCGTGGGATACAATCAAACTGGTGATATCTGTATGGGTCTTCAAGTAGTTTTCTAACCACGCAATGTTGGCAACGTCTAGATGGTTGGTAGGTTCGTCAAGGAGTAGGACGTCAGCTCTCTGGAGCATAGCCCGAGCCAGCGCCAACTTCATCTTCCAACCACCAGATAACGATCCAACCTTTTGCGATTGGCGGCCTTCTGGCCCAGCTGTGAAACCGAACTCTACTAAAACTTCCGAAATCCTTTCTCGGCCTTCTGATGCAATAGTCGGGTCCTTAACCATGAATTCAAGGATGCTGATTTCGGCATCCTCGCCCTGGTTGTGCTCCACGTAGCAGGTTCGAAGAACATCTTGAGGAGGGAAACCCTCGAGCTTTCCGCCGGCGATACTCCTCATCAGGGTTGACTTGCCAGCTCCATTTCGGCCACAGAGACCATACCGATGGCCTTTGAGGAGACGCAGATTGGTATGAGACAACAGAAGCATACCACCATAAGCGAGAGAGAAGTCGGCATTCACTATCTCGATTTCGCCGTCATCTTCCTTCTCCGGCACGCCATATTTACGCTGGTCGTCTGCGACATAATACTGGTGAACGGCAGATGCGACGGCCTCACTTGCACCTGGCTGGTGCATCATCTCTTTTAGGTAAGGGCCGATCCTAGCAGGAATCCTGCCAACTTGGCGGTAATTGGAATCATCGGCAACCATCTCGCAGATGTAGGGGCGAACCAGCTGGTAGAATTGGAGGTCGCTAGATAATCCGCCGTTCTTCTTGATCTCGGCGTCAAGGATCTTAGCCACGTCGTCGACAGAGGTCCGCTCGACAGCAGCCGCATCATTACCCATGGCCTTGTCCATGACATCCAATGCCCTTGTAGCCAGCTCGCGGACTTCGGGAAGCGGGGCACGGGCTACTACACCCTTGACACCCGGTTGGAGCTTTGGGAGGAATATCCTTGCCTCAATGGGGTCATGGACTAATTTGGTCAAGTTCTCTGTGATGACGGTGGACTGCCGCAGAACTTCTTGAGTGGTGCTGGGGTTATTTAATGTCCGTTCGAGAAATGGAGTCAAGAGCGCAAGAACTGGCGATGTAACAATAGCGACAAATGTGGTTTGCGAGAGTGCATGGATTGCCTTCTGGAGAGTTTGAGTTGAAGGGTGATGCAGGGTCTCGATAAGCAAGGGAATTCGGGGAGCAACATCGTCGTTGGATAATAAAGTTGTGAGAGATTGCATAGTAAGAACGGCTTGTTTCTCGACTTCTGCTTTCAGATCATGCATGTTGTTTTCAACGATTGGGATCAATGTGGCGAGCTTCGAACCCATAGCATCACGGAGAAGGTCCTTCTCTTGAGCTTGCTCTTTGGTGCAGCCAATCTCCATCTGAGCCTTGTCAGCCATGCGCTGCATCAGCTTTAGAGCGCCGACAGCACCCTGCCACTTCCCAGTCTTCTTAGAGAGATAGGATACGATGGCTGGCAGGAGGCCAGCGACCAGTGCCTCGGCACTCAGATGGCCAAACAAGGCATCCAAACCATATTGGGCTGCTTCACGGACGACGGTTCCCTTGTCAGCCAAGGCATCGAGCGCGACGGTAAGCAAGCCGCCGTCCTGAAGCAGAAGGACGAACTCGCTGAGGGGCTGCCGAGAGGGAAATTTCTCAAACAAGGCACCAAGGAGGTTCTGAGCGCTTTCGCGTCGCAAGCCGCTCTTCTTGTCGGCTGCGGCCTTCTTAACTTCAGCGATTACGCCATAGTGGTGAAGCCCACGGAAGCCAACGGTGTTCAGCAAAAGCTGACAGAGCGCATAAGCGGCATCGATGGAAGCAGCGGACGACTGGGCGGTGAACACGGTATTGAGTATGGCAGTAACATCTTCCGAGGGAGGTGGCGCGGCACCGTTAGATCGGTCCACCATTATCGGCGGTGCGATAGAGTGAGGCATCGTCGAGAGATGGCAGAAGCCGGGGACGAGGGAGAGGCGGAGGAGGCTTGTGAGCGGGAATTATATATGGATGGTCGAGATAAGCAATCCAAGAGGGAAAAAATAACGACAACAGGACCCAGGATGCCTCAAACGCCAGCGAGAGACGAGCGCAAATGCGCAGTGGTCTCGAGGCGTGTATCGGAAGACGGATTGCTGTCGCGCAAGATGTGACAACTCTCTTCTACCCAGACAAAGCAGGGAGAGAAGTCAGGACTGCGTTGGACAAGTGCTTATCGGAAAAGTCGACCCCTCCATTTTTTTTCAGTTATCGACAAGCCGGACCCCACCTCTACAGTGTTTGTCTATAGGCACTGTGCTTTAGGAAGTACACAAATCACATTTGTGCCAGACACACCGCGTGGAAATAGGGAGGGTACCTGTGTGGAAAGAGCCCGCACTGTCCCAGTATTGTACACCGATACAACTTGTCACGTGCAAACCTAGATCGCCCACTGTGGCTATTCTTGGGCATTTTAGGTGCGACGAAGACGCTATTTCGTAACCGCAAAGCATAAGGTAATTGTCCAGTCACTGCCTTACTCGGCACATAGTGGGGGATTCTTGGACACCCCGCGGCAGCAATGACATCTTTCAAGCCCTGAGCAGTCCGAAACTTCAAAAAATGCGAATTCCGGGCAGGTAATATGTAGATATAAAGCGTAATGAAGGGCGTTTCCACGGAAAGCAGAAACAGGAGAGTCACACGGAAGCAAGTAATAAAGGAAAAAGCCAAAGCTGTGTATCGAGCCGCCTCTGTCTATCAATACGTAACATCTATTGTCAGCTCCAAGCCGCTTACCATACGACGGAGCACGTGCTTCTACCAACCCTATGGATGCGATTGATTGGCGGCAATAAGAAGAGCTACTGAATCATAGTCTTAGGTAAGCTGGACATATTAATGAAAACAAATGTGTTTACCTTATTGGTCGCCCATCTATCTAAGGTGCCACTTGTGGTCCTCTGTCAGTTGGGCATTGTCTTTGAATATGCCAGCTGGCCAAACAATGCGGCGGCTTAGTAACAATAGGTAGATTATAGACGTCGTAAAAGAATGAGCGAAATAACCTGTTACCAACTCTGATACCCCAACCTTGCCCGGATGGTACCTCAGAATCTAGATAGGTAGGTAGGTAGCGAATGCCCACGATCCAGGTACTCTACCTGCCTGGATAATTATTGCAGAGTTGGCAACGTATTACAGCAGAAAGGCTGGTAACATGCTGTCGTGGCGGGATGAGTTTCTGTCTAGGTATCTATAGTGCAGGCGATTGACGGGGTATCATCCGATGTACGGACATATGAAGATCGGAGACAAAAGAATCGGGACACAGAGATCCCACTTTAAAGTCTTGACACAGTATGATCTCTGAACCCGTATTTATATGCACGGAGCGTCGTTATCACAACGGCCAACCCTCACTACGGACGTATCTCGAGGTATGTACCTACCGTATTTACGGCAGCGTGAAATCACAGTATGCTACGGATATCAGGTTTATTACGGCGGCCCCCCCGGCGGGTTAAGCCGTTCGAACCCGATTTCTGTAGGAAGAAGAGGAAGAATTCAGTTAAAATGAAGCTCGATATTAGCCCAAGCCACAGGACCCGTGGTGCGTGGCTAACCTACAAGCCCTAGAAGTTACGCGGCCTTAGCGATGCTATGCCTTAACTGTAGGCGCTAAGTCTTAGCGGTGCCTACCACGACTTAGCGGTGAATACAGTAACAGAAACGTGGGCTTGACTGTGCCGATACCTATCCCGTACTAGCAATCCGCGCAACCACATCCCAATTCTTTTGTCGCCAGCCTTCCATACTGCACCTATAACACAAGAGCTCCGCCACCACGGCGAAGAGTCCCAACAGAGCTGTAAAGGGAAAAAAAAAAGGAATGCCCACTAGCGGAATCGAACCGCTGATCTTGTCATGACATCTAGGAGTTACCGAAGTACTAGTGACACGCTATACCACTTAGCCAAGCGGGCAAGTCTACGCGATGTGATTGGTTTCGGGCCCCCCATCGCCGTTTACATAGATAGTAACGTCCCGAACCCGCTGCTCGGCCACTCCACCCAGCAGGCTAACACAAAGCGTGTTGGTCCCCGGATGGAAACGCCTTATCGTCCCGGACGATTCGTCCGGCCTGCCGCCTTCTCGGCCGTCGGACTTACACGCTCCGGCAGGGCGTTTACACGTAACCAACCCTGCTAGGCCGCCAGCTTCTGATCGGCCACCCCACCTCACTAACTACTAAGGTCGTCAGAAATGCCGTGGATACCCTCTTGGATGTAACTATTCGTTGGGCGTGGCCATCAAGGTTGGTAACATGTTAGGTCGTTACTAGTTATAGATCCCCTTGAGTGACACGCCTGAGAGGCGGGGCGGGCCAGCAGCATGGTAAGCCAAACAATAGGGTGAATATATGATCCCACAAGGAAATCGGATTTAAGAGTATTGAAATCGCTAGGATCTGCATTAACACCATTGTTTTTGGTCGATACTCTTGCGTAAAGCCGTTGGGTTCGATGAGTCGGTAAAGTTGCGATCAGAGCGTCATCTTTGGTTTGTTCTTGCCTAGGTGATAAAGGCTGGGCTCGCTGGAGTTGTCTGCTGGTCGCTTGGCCTGTCATAGCTCTATCGTCGTAGTTTTTAACTTGTAACGCGGCTAATATGGAGGTTGTTCTGCCTCGGTATTGCTGGCTAGACTGTGATGTGCTACTAGTCGCCGTGTTCGGAGAGTTCTGAGTTGGTAGTGATAAGTACGTACATGGACCAGCAGCACGGCTCGGACTAGGTAGACAGGAACATGAAGATGAAACTGCCTACTTAAGACTCTTGGCTAGGGATAAACGGTAGGAATAGGTAGGTAGCTATCAACGCTCCATGTTACGCTACCCTAGGCGTGAATCCGGATGGGGTTGAGAGAATACGGGGTATGTAACAGGATCAAGAAGGCCTTCACGCCTTCCGGGAGAAATAATTTGGGGACCGGCCCGAATCCAAAAGATAGTTATCACTAGCCTTGCATTCCTCCTTAAGACGACAGAGTCCCACGTGCCCTTATCGTGACTATGTATTTAAAAGTTTCGATCACCATGGTGGCGCTACAGCGGGCTATAGCCGACTTGGCAGGTCGAAACTTTTAAATCGGTTCTCGGTATACGTCATTATATGGCTATACGGGGGTGGTCGGTGGCTAACACGTGGTGAGGGGATCGGATGGTTATGTACTATGCAAGGACTCTTTTCTGGGTGGTTCTATCGAAGCGTAAACACAAACAGTGTGTGGAGAGCGTAGGAAGAAATATGACGGGGCAAAGACACGTCGTGAGGGTTTCATTCAACTTGAGGGGCACTGTTCTAGTTACGAAAATTCAAACTGTTAAAGGCACCGCGGCGAAACAGACAGGGTCCTGACGAGTTGCTGGTGATAGTACGGGATCGTGTACCCATAACCAAGGCGAGCAACAAAAGAGGTCGAGCCGGGAGGGCGCTTCGAGATGGACTCACATTGGTGCCATTAAAATCCGGCAGATATCGGGTGCAGCGGGCACGCCGTCTACTTGTTGGGGCAAGAGTCTTTCTGGCTAGAATTCCTGGGTAGGATTTGACACTTGTAGGCATAGTACGTTACCTAGTCTTGCAGGCCTACCTAGCATACCTCTACCTACAATCTACCTAATACTTTTCCGGAGGCCTCCCCTTGATGTTGACGTAGCTACATAATAGAGAATAAAGGCTAGCACGCGATCTTGCCAGGTACTTCTTCGTGCCTAATATAGACTGGTCTGCGCCGTGAGTTGCCAGGACTGAACACAACTTCTTCTACCTCTACTTAATATGTGATATCTTTGTAGATTACTTCGATTACGACCATCCGAATTCGTCCATATTGTTTCCATATTCCCTCACAGCTTTGGACTATCCCTTGTCGGTTAAGAAACCCATAAAACAGCGCCCAGACACAGGGATCTACAACGTATACCATCGGCATCCTCCACTATCTAATAGCTCAACTGAGACTAAGGTAGCCTAACGACCGGCAAACCGGTAACTTTGCTACGTAGTACCTACTTCTTAACGTGCCTGACCTAGTCGAGTCAACCGTGTACACGAATGATCGGTAGCCCTAAGGCTATAGGTTAGACTAGATGCTTCGTTCCAAAACTACGATGAAATTAAGGTTCTCCGTAGGTCGAGACTTAGGCAAGCTATGAGGTTAGCCGCATCGTCTGCCTCAGTCACCGTGAAGTTGTCTGTTTCTGCTAGTTTCTGCGCCAGTTAGCGCCAGCGGACTGCGAATGGATTTACCCATCCCGGCTGTCCGTGACATCGGGGGCGGTTTTCCAGGCACATGAATCGTGTCGAAAGCCTCCGTTCTGTACCTAAAGCATACGTAGTATACTCCGCACGTACACAGGCTCAACAAGACCGTGACCTACGCGCCTACTTTTAGCACACTAGACGTCTACTTACACTAACTAGTCAGGCCATATGTAACATCCGTTGCCTAATAAAACCTGCTTTTGCCCGTGGCTCGACAGCTTCAGGTTAACCTAAGACCTGGGATTTACATTAAGATGCGGGTAGCACGTCCGTAGTCAGGGCGTTATATAAGCGAGGTCGCAATCGTATAGCATATCTACACTAATACTGTAAGAATGATCTTCCCTTCTTTACTTAGTAATTCCCTAGTCAGCCTACCCTAGCGTACAATGTTTAATATGTTTAGACGCCACATGGGGACGTTAGATTCCATCTCTTATCAATCTAAGCGGCCTGGCGGGTGGGCACTGGGGCATGGCGTTACGCGTAAATGAGAGCTGAGGGAATGGGCCGTCAGGGCCGTATGGCGTGAGGTAGGTCTTCTGTATTCCGTAGATGATGGCTGGATGCTAGCGTAGGTCTACCATCCTTGGGAATTCCTCGCTACGCTTAAAATGGATTCTTAAGGCTGTCCGTTACCGATAGGCTAGCACGCCTATTTCGCAAGCCTGTTATCTAGTCTGTTACGGGCTCGTTAAGCAGAGCGGGCTATCCGGTCTACGTACGCTAGACAATGTCAGTGACTGGGACCAGCTGCCCAAAGGCTATAGGCATCATGGCTGGAACTCGAGTGGTCCCCGAAACCACGGTCCTCGCAGCACCCAGGGATGCGCTCGACGTCCCGGGAAGAAGCGTTACCCCCCGACTCTGCAGTTACCGACTCGCCTAGTACGAAAGCAGGCATAACATTCGTTACATCTGTGTCGCGACAAGAACTCGTAATAGGCACGTAGTATGTCTTCCTATAAGCCCAATCAGTTAACAGTAGAGCGACGCTCCGTGCAGATGCTACCGGTTATAGAGCCTCGGCGATTTTATAATCATGGCCATCTCATGACTAGTAGCTGACATATCACGGATGGAATTACTGGAATAGGAAAACGAGAAATGGATTTTGGTAATCGGGTGGAGAATTTCTTGCCTGCCTATGTGACGTAGGGACACTAGCATACAAGAGCCCTGCATGGAAACATTACCATCTCGAGTAGCGTGGAAGACTCCACTGTCTACATCGAAGATACATGCCGCAGGCAGCGACGAGATCACAGAGCGGCTATAAGTGTTATTCATCCACGGGATATAGTTGCCGTAAAGGTAGGTAGTCCATTCGAAATGGAGTGCGTCCGTAGGTCGGCTGCTTAGCTGGGTAGATACCTCGGTAGGAAGGGAGTGCCTAAGTGCTATACACTAGAAAGCATTACCGTCGTAACGATATCCGCGATGCTCTGGTTGATCGATCCATAGACAACGGTCAACCCGACTTGAACCGAGATCAAGTTTTAAAATAGTGGAGGTTAGCCCGGTTAGGACTCAGCTGGCAGTGTTAGTGCAGCTTCAAGTTAGCCCTTCGTGCCCCGTTACTAGCGTTCCTAGCACTTAACGTGGTGCGCTACCGGCCGGTACAGGCCACCAGGCCAGCTCGGCCAATAGTGGAATTTATCAAATTCCCGAGACACTACCCGAGACGCTCCTAGTGGTTAGTTGCGTGGGGTGGCCGACGTGGGTGGGCGGCCTAGCAGGGTTGGTAAACTCCAGAGCATGGGTATTATCGAACCCCCGATATGTTCCATTCCTTTAGCGCGTGTAGGCAGGCTAGCGCAGTGCATTTAGGCTGCTGTAGGGGTGCATCATGTACTATGCATGTAGTGGGTGTGCGCTAGCAAGTACCGGTGTTCTGGGCCTAGCCCGCAACGGGCCAAGCGCCCCGGGAGTCTATACCAGCCCGTGTTTCTCTCCCGGCCGACCCTATCCCCATTACCCTACCTCTGCTTCTACCTCTGCTTCTACCTCTATACCTCTATACCTCTGCCTACTGGTGGGTTGTAGTCTAAATCGCCAAGAGTGCTCATCGCCAATTGGCCCGGCGGCAAGTTCCTCTCTTAGGTACCCCTACCCTGCCCATTGCCTGCCTACCTATCTTGCGGACTCGGCGCCAGTCGTGGTCGTCCACACAGCCCTGCGCCAGCGGCGCTCCTGCAATCCTTCAACATACTAGAGTCAGCTCAGGACGCGTCTTGTTGAAATTGTGTGCTCATCCTGCAGCTGTTGTAGCATGGATCGATTTCTGTTATAAAAAGAGTTCAGTCTAGACCAGCATGGGTGGAAAGGAAATGTACAGGCTCTGGGCTACACTGCGAACAATCCGTCATCATTTGAATCGCAACCATCTTGCCCGGTCATAATCAAACTCTTGTTTTTTTCCCTTTGCTAAGAGATTCGCAATGGTTAAGCCACCAGCCACCGGCTTCCAATTCATTACCTCTATCAACACTGTCGTCCACGATGAGGAGACCCGCCGCAAAGTGCGCTCTCATGCCCGGCGGCAGAAGCTCCCGAATGAGAATAATAGCCCTCCCTCTCAGGCAAGAAAGTTGACCTCGCAAAAAGAACGCATCTCCAAGTTTAGAATAAAGCCTGTCGTCCAACCAAACGATGGCGG